GTAAATATTAGCTCTAACGAGGCAAAAGCCTTAAGAGAGCTGCGTGTAAATAAGGATATCCAAATCCTAGCAGCTGATAAAGGCCGCACTACTGTAGTGATGTCACGAGCCGATTATGATAATAAAATTAGAAATTTACTAGAGGAAAGTACCTACATTAAAATTAAACGAGATCCCACTAATACTTTAGAACGTAAGACCACTGCAATAATTGCAAATTCATTAATCCCTAAAAATGAGCAATACCTAATTAAGCCAAGGGCCTCAAAACCACCTAGACTCTATGGGCTACCAAAGATCCATAAAATCGGCATCCCATTACGACCCATAGTCAGTACAATTGGCTCTGCCACATATCAATTAGCAAAATATATAACCAAACAAATACAGCCCTACATCGGTAAGACATCTTCATTCATAAAAATTCAGAACATCTTGTGAATGTGATTAAAGATATTAAACTTACTCCTGATGATATTCTGGTAAGTTTTGATGTGATTTCTCTATTCACTAAGGTTCCAGTGGACGAATCGCTTAAATTACTTGATACACTAGTAAAGAATACCGGTTTACAAAAAGATATTCCGAAACTTGCTGACCATTGTTTAAATAACACTTACTTCTTATGGAGAGGGGATTTCTTTAAACAAAAGGAAGGAGCAGCAATGGGTTCTCCTTTATCCCCTGCTATAGCAAATTTGTACATGGAAAACTTTGAAATAAGAGCACTTGCCTCGAGCACATTAAAACCATCCTTTTGGTTTAGGTATGTGGATGACACTTTGGTTGTCTGGCCACATGGTAAAGATACACTTAATGATTTTCTAAATCATCTCAATGCACAAAACCCGGCCATCCAGTTCACCATGGAAATGGAGGTGAATAACACACTCCCATTCCTAGATATTTTGCTTGGACATGGCCTAAACGGTAAAATAACACACAGCGTTTACAGAAAGCAAACGCACACTGATGCCTATCTGAATGCAGAATCACATCATCATCCAGCTCAAAAATCCTCTCTTATCAAGACGCTCGTACATCGGGCGAAAACAGTGTCAGATGGTGAGAGTCTAGTGAGAGAGATTAAACACGTTAAAGACACACTACGACAGAATGGCTACAATAATGCTCAAATTAACAGAGCACTGAATGCCAAATCACGATCGCAAAGCAATACTACTGAAAGCAACCAGATTGTTAAAACAATAAAAATTCCATATATCTCAGGAGTAACTGACAAATTAGCCCGTGTTTTGCAAAAGCAAAACATTACAGTAAGATTTGGTACAGTACACAAAATTCAAAAACTAGTATCTTGCACTAAAGACGCATTACCTAAACTATCAACAGAAGGTGTATATCGGATTAATTGTTCATGTGGCAGCTGCTACATTGGGCAGACGGGACGTAACATCAGCGTAAGACTAAAAGAACATCAGAGAAATATTAAATTATCTCAAACACAACTGTCGGCAGTGGCAGAACATGCTTGTCAACAAGGACACTCAATTGATTTTGACAATGTTGCAGTGGTGTGTAAAACTAATTATTACTGGCAAAGACTAATTAGAGAATCCATTGAAATTGAGAGGAACAAGAATAACTTTAATCGCTCTGACAGCTACCGGCTTAGTGCGGCCTGGAAGCGTATTATTAAATAATACACATTACATTTTGACTTAAAGAATTACTAATCTACAACTCATTACTAATCATAACCAATGACTGATTACTAATCGATTATATAATTACATTACACCCCCCCCCTCCGCCTCTAATCACTGCACCTGATGAGTTAAGTGATGACGTCACCCTGCTGCCCTATATAAAACCGGGAGCAAGCGAGGGCTTTACCATTCTGGCGAATTGCCCGATGATGCTGGAAGTATTTACCAGCGAAACGTCGTACTCAAACTGTAAATGTGGATTAACTCTTCAACACACCGGTGGGCTGAAGTAGTGAATTATTTGTCTTTGTCAACGTGACACTTTCTTGCTGATTGGCCGTGTCGGGTGGTGGAGGGTTACGACACATTTATAAATAAACGCGATCTAACCCAAGAACCTTTATTATGAATAATATTGGTCGCAAAAGCCTACGTGTTAAACTTACCTCTCTCTCTTACTCACGTGTACTTCCACTCTGCTGCGCTGGAAGCTGTAGAAAAGCGATCAGTAGAGGGTTGAGCCTGGCTGCGCTGAAGTTCGTCACGCGGACGTCTCGAACGGCTGACTCCCCTCCTGCGTGGACCGCGATGATCTTGAAGAAGAACTGCCCTTGCTACCTGAATCCCCCTCCCTTTATCCTACCTACAACAAAGGAATTTCGCCGTGTCGCTCCCTTGGCCTCCCGTCCAATCAGGGGCTCGGATTTTCCTGCCCTTTCGATACTCGGATCCCAGCTCTGGTGATGTCGCCGCAGTGATCTCTCCGACGTCCGCTCTCTGTTCTCCCGCTACCAGTCCACTGACCCGTGCTTGTGCGTGCGTGGTTCCACTCGCGGTGGCTCGATGGCCCTTGCCGTGACCATGCAACTTTAATATTAGGTCACGGTGCCGCAGTGCATGTCAGATACAGGGGGAAGATCGCCCAATTTCCCGGCCGCAGGAAACCATGAAGTTTGATCCCATTAGGGACTTCTGGAAAAAAACCTATCGGCTGGGTGACCTCCCCTCCCGGCTCTACGTGGGGCGTGTGTGCGTTCATGCGGGGGGGGGGGGGGGGGTGGCGAGGGTGCACCGCGTCGGCATCCCCCGGTGGCGGCTTCACGGTGGTGGGCACGGCCTCGGCAGAGCGGCTCTGCTGCGGCGGCCTCACGACTGTGCAGTGGGCAAAACGCAGACGTCTGAGAAGGCACCGGCCCCGGGGGAGTGGCGGGAAATCCGAGGCATTGGTGACGGCGTCACGGCGGTGGGCATGGCTCCGCTGGAGCAGCTCCGCTGCGGCGGCACCACAGTAACGCGCGTGACGTCACTCCACATGCCGCACCCCCCCCCGCCCCCGTCATTAATATTCATGAGCGGGTGGATTTTTACACTCACGCAGGTCGAGCGGAAATAATATTTTTTCACAAATTCGTTTTAAGTTAGACGTTTCTTTATTGAAAGTTAATCTAATAAACAATTCTACGCAGCAAAAAAGTGGATTTTGTGTCTTTATTTATTCAGCACTTAAGACAAAAGGTAAGTCTAATTTATGCTTCTACATTATGGTAAAACAGATATTTCTCAGTGATTTTTCAGATATTGTATCGATTTCCAATTAATTTCAACCCCAGCGACCGAAAGCAGAAGAGAATAAAGTATCAGAGCAGTGAATTTGAACAAATTGAAGGACAGTTATATACAGTGCTACAGTGACATGAAGTAAGGTGTTTTATGACATAGTTTTGTGCAAGAATCACTGCCATTAATACAGTGCTTCAGTGAACTGCAGTGAATTGTTTTATGACTTCGTTTTGTGCCAGATTCACTGCCATTAATACAGTGCTACAGTGAAATGCAGTGAACTGTTTGATGGCATACTTTTGTGCAAGATTCACTACCATCAAATTTACACAAGATACAATTATATTGTGCTCAATTTTTTCGTAAATATTACAGCTTCCGTCCTAGGACGGGCAAAGAAGCTATTCCATACATAAGTGCCATGATAACTAAGTTAAGCATATTAACTTAATAGCGTATTGTGGAAGTTGTGTATTGAGGTATTGAACCAAAGGATCATTCAAAAAATGTACATAATACGAAATATGCCACTTCTCCACGACCAAAATAATATGTATTCCAGGGGTATAACCAGAGCCTGGCCGACCACCTTTGTCTTCCCAGTGGCTGTCATTGCATGCTGCAGCAGGAATTAATTTAGAGGATGAGTCGACTTCAAGAGAAAGGAAGGCCGTTTTACAATAAACAAGGCTACAGACACACACCACACCTCGGGGTAATTAAGTGGGTCTGCGCTCACACAATGCTCACACAAATCTTGGGATGACCTCCAAAGGGAGGGTAGTTTAATAGGGGTTATGGCATCAAGCGCCAGGATGCCTGCGGAGCAAAAACCAAGGATGAACTCAGGCTGACCCGATGGATGCACCACGTGAGAGGAGAACGTTGGATCTTAATGTGTCTTAAGTAATTCATGACATAAGCTAGAAATCCTATATGGACAGCACACAAAATCATACAAGTCAGTCTTGCAACTGCAAACTCCGGGGTATGGTCCTCGTAATTAACCAGTCTTGCAACGGCAGATCGAGTGGTACTCAAAACCAGACTAGTGTTGAGTCTTGCAGAGGCAAAGGCTCTGTATCACTAAGTGTTGAGTTCGCTGACAGACTCTTAAATATCGATGAACGTTTTATTCTACATTTTTCATTATATATTCAGTCACAGCATCAAGGGCTTCGAGAAGTTGTACTAAGCTAAGTGTTTTGAGAAGTTAAGTGGAGATTTGAGTTATACACCAATATCGAGTGTGCATGAAATGTTGTCCAAGTGATAGGCTGGAAAAGTTCTGTTGGCCAAGTGACTGAGTTTGAGAGTGAGCAAGGATCAGGCCGCTGCACAGCGGGTGACCTCCCAAAGCAGGCAGCCCTGCTGACAGGCAACGTGCTTGAGAAGCGTGGCCACAGACGACTGCAGCTGCAGATCGAGCCTGGCGTGCAGATAGCCTACAAGCGTGCAACTAACAGCTGACCACGAACCCGTTATAAGGCGGTTTCTCAATGTTAGAGCTTTAAATCTAGGTTACTGAATGGTCTATGACGAACTACTTTCTTGAGCTGCACCGCTGAGCGGTACGATGTGGTACGCGGACTGATACAGTATGCGGCGGCGTACCGTCACCTCAGTTCTTTGTCCCACCGTGGGCTAATTCAGTAGAAAGCAATTTCTCGCTGAGCGCGGTTTTCTCTTAACATTGCACTTTTCAGGAACGCATCTACCGCGTTAAACGGGGGAGGTCTCACTCGCCGTTTGTGTGTGCGTGTGTGACAGAAAACGCATGCAACAGACACGTGCGTGGAGTGAGCAGACACCTGAGTGAACTGTGTGAAGCCCAGAAGACGTGGCCGGCAAGGGAGAGAACAGCTGCGCCCAACATAGGTACACCTCCTATAACCCCCACAACATAGATGTGCAGACAATACGCCTTCTTCTAATGAAGCAATTGGCAGGACCCCGGGGGTCCCATCACTGCCCCTGGGTGGGAAAAACCGCGTAGCGACACCGAGTCTTGCCTTACCGACAACAAAACGAGTGGTCAATCGATTGGCCTCGTCGAGAGCTACTCGGGGCACTAAGTTTCGTAAAAAATTGAAAAATTACATAAACACGTTAAATTCACTGCGGGGGCGGGCTCGCCTTGGCAAAGAAGCTGAGGATCGACGGCTGACCGGAGGGCGTTGTTGCCGCGTGCGACTGCGGTGGACGCCCGGGCTTGCGTTTGGCCGGTGGGGTGGCGCCCATCGTGTTGATCGCCGTCCGTGTGGGCGGACTGAAGAAAAATAATAATTATTGACCTGATTTTTGCGGGACCCTGGGGTCCCGCCAAATGATTCATATATCCGTCTTATAAATATACCCGACTCGTCTGTGCACTTAAAAAAAGTATACTAGTGTAGTGTCGCCCGTGCATGCGGGTGGCGTGCATCGCACACACAGTCAGCCGGAGACGAGGTGGTCGCAGAAGGCATCGCTCTACCGTCTTTATTCATTGTTGCCAAGCTCACGCCACCACTCGGGCCCCATCTCTCTCTCACACACGACCCTGCTGCCGCACGCCCCGTCCCAGACACGATCCTATCCACACTGCACCGACGGCGTCGACCAGGACAGCCAATCACTGTCCGGCCGCGCAGTGATCGGGCAAAGGCGGTAGCGACGAGGGTGACGATGACGACAGCGACGATGAGACGAGTCCAATCCCAGAAGCGGTAGCCCAGAGCTCTCGCTCTCCACTGCTTATATTCCCCACGGCGCGGCTTGAATCCGCCCTAGCCGTGCCTCCCTTCTCGAACCCTCTATAGGGTTCCAGGGGCTTCCGCACGAGGTCTATCATGACCCTTGCTCCAGTTCCTCTGCCCTGCCGGCACACCCGCGTGTATGCTCAGCGGCGTGTGCGCTAAGTGCCCATCTGCAGTTGCTACTGCTGTCCAAGAGACTGCGCTATGTCACTACACAAGTATTCTTTCCGCAACCCATTGGCTATATTGCCTTCTGGAGGTGCATATGGGGAGTCCTCGACTTACGGGCATAATTCGTTGCCGAGACCTGTTCGTAAGTCGAACTAAATGTACTGCATTTAAATGCCCATACGGTCAATGTTATGAAATGTGTTACGGTTCAACAAAAAGGGGAAGCACTGTTAAAGTCATATAAAACACTGTATAGTAAATAAAACACAAAATAAAGTAACAAATAGAAACAAAATCTGTTTTATTTTCACTTACCTTGAGTCCTGATGCTGGCTTGCTTGTCAGAAGGGTCGCAATGAGTAGACACACACACACTCCAACGATCCCCCTTGTAGCCTTAACAAGCTATATGAAGGCCGGCATGGCACACGAGCGGGTGAGTGGCCAGCACCACACCCGGCTGCCTTTGTCTCCCCTTGGGCAATGTTTACACACCAAACCAGGTACTCATTTGAGGCTGAGTTGACCTCGGGGAGGCCCATGACCCGTGAGTAGCACAGCACACTAACATCGGAGGGCCCTCGACCCCGCGAGAGGAGGCCCTTGGCGGACCGGGTCGACCAACTAACAGAGGCGGTCACGCTCCTCCTGCGAACAGCCGCGGGAGGACAGGGTGGCTGCTCACCCGGCGACGCCACCCTTGGCGTCCGCAGTGGCTTCTCCTCTCGCACGAGCGGGAAGCCCTACTGTGGGGACGCCACGGGCAACAGGGACAGCCGGGGTGGTCGCCACACAGGACGGACCAATGGAGACGATGGCGCCGGAGACGGAGAAGCCAGCGCCGTCAACGGGTGAGAGCATGGCGCCACAAATGACAGCACCGGGACCACAACGAGACGGGGAAGGGTCCCCTCAGGAGGGGGGAGAATCTCCCTTAGTGGGGCCGACACCGCTAACTGCCATTGGATAGAAATGGCGCAAAATTCATGAGGCCCAGAGGAAATGGCCGCTCCGAGCTTAAGCAGCAGAGCGTTGGAGCCACGTGGGGAGGCGCTGAGGCAACGGTCAGAGGGGCGCGCGATAGCCGCGGCCCAGGCTGCGGAATTTATTCCACCTGGGGATGAGAGTGGTGACGTGAAGAGGGCGCCAATCGACCACGCACGTTAGGCCACGTTGATAAGTTTGTGGCTAAAGGAGGGGACCGGGGAGCATTTCTTTGCCGATTTGAGGTGGTGTACACTTATTTAGAATGGACGGAGCACGATGCACTGGACGCTCTCCCCACGGCCCTTAGCGACGACGCTTTGATTATTTATTCCTCCATACTGGCGAAGAAAAGGAACACCTTGCAATCCGCATATTGAGAGATGGCTAAGATTTTTGACCCGCGATCCAGTGCAAAAAGACGATTCCAAAACCGTTGGTGGGAAGAAGCGGAATCAGCCTTGGCCTACGGAAGCGCTCTCATGTCCCTGGCACAGGCTGCTTTCCCGGGCCTGGATGCAGGGGCACTGTTAGCGCTGGCACAGGCCTTCAAAATAGTTTTGCCAGTCACTGATGACAAGCAGACCTCATTGTGGATTGCGAAGAGCATAAGAGCCCATGAGAAGGTGATGAGGCCACAACGTGTGGTTGCGCAAATAGCAGACCCATAAACCCATCAAGGACTGGAGGGTGTTCAGAGAAAATGGAATGTGGGAGAAGACGCCAAACTAGATATGGATGTGGAGCTGCCCGAGGAGGAGATGCTGGCAGCTGTGAAGGGGACATACGGGGGACCGGCCCAGAGCACTCGTCATTGGATGCCCCGGGGATTCGGAGCATCAAGCCGGACCCGGGACCCGGTGACCTGCCACCGATATGGCCACACGGGCCACATTGCATGCGGGTGTCGCACTGATGCTGCCCCACCAGGGCCACGCTCACACCAATGACCACTCTCCACCCCTATGTACAACCAGCAGGCGAGTCGCGGCACTCCAGACACCCCGGCAGTTCCCATCGCAGACCTCACACACACCAACTTTCAATGCATCTGCCACTTCCCGACGCTCAGTCACCCTCGTACACGTGCGATTTTTCACCACAATGGCCGACTTCGGGGACTCAATGGCGCAAGTTGACACGGACGGTAAGTAGCAGCCTCAGCGGGGATGTCGGTGGTGGTAGGCTTGGTGGGGAGAATTGATTTCCGGATGCTGGTAGATACGGGAGCGTCGGTGAATATTATCTCCCTGCACGTTTTTGATATGCTTCCCCACAGGGCCCAGTGCTTGTGTCCCATTCAGTTATCATACGTGGAGGCAAATGGGGGAAGCATGGTGCAGCTGGAGACCCAAATTCGAGTGGGAGAGCAAGTTATATCCGGTCCTGTACCAGCACGTTTACGGTTCCCTGTTTGCTGGGGACGGACTATTTGAACCAGCTCCCTATAAATATGGTGACGGACCAAGGGTATATCGAAATGCCGTCAGGGGAATGTCTATATTTTTTGCGTCCGGACAACAGTACCCGGACATCAGCTCAGGTGCAGGCAGTTACGAAACGGATGCTCACGGTTCCTCCAGCAGCACAAATCTTAATTCCGCTTCAATATCGCCCACCACTCATGACGGCTCGACCAGACACACCCATGGCGATCATGGATCAACACGCCTTAGCACGAGCGGTTACCATCCTATGTCGCCACCAAAAAATTTTTATTCAAGTTTTGAACACGGCAACCACACCTGTCACTATACAGGGAGGGAAAAAAGTATTTGATCCCCTGCTGATTTTGTACGTTTGCCCACTGACAAAGAAATGATCAGTCAATAATTTTAATGGTAGTTTTATTTGAACAGTGAGAGACAGAATAACAACAACAAAATCCAGAAAAACACATGTAAAAATGTTATAAATTGATTTGCATTTTAATGAGGGAAATAAGTATTTGACCCCCTCTCAATCAGAAAGATTGCTGGCTCCCAGGTGTATTTTATACAGGTAACGAGCTGAGATTAGGAGCACACTCTTAAAGGGAGTGCTCCTAATCTCAGCTTGTTACCTGTATAAAATACACCTGTCCACAGAAGCAATCAATCAGATTCCAAACTCTCCACCATGGCCAAGACCAAAGAGCTCTCCAAGGATGTAAGGGACAAGATTGTAGACCTATACAAGGCTGGAATGGGCTACAACACCATTGCCAAGCAGCTTGGTGAGAAGGTGACAACAGTTGCTGCGATTATTCGCACATGGAAGAAACACAAAAGAACTGTCAATCTCCCTCGGCCTAGGGCTCCATGCAAGATCTCACCTCGTGGAGTTGCAATGATCATGAGAACGGTGAGGAATCAGCCCAGAACTACACAGGAGGATCTTGTCAATGATCTCAAGGCAGCTGGGACCATAGTCACCAAGAAAACAATTGGTAACACACTACGCCGTGAAGGACTGAAATCCTGCAGGGCCCGCAAGGTCCCCCTCCTCAAGAAAGCACATATACATGCCCGTCTGAAGTTTGCCAATGAACATCTGAATGATTCAGAGGACAACTGGGTGAAAGTGTTGTGGTCAGATGAGACCAAAATGGAGCTCTTTGGCATCAACTCAACTCGCCGTGTTTGGAGGAGGAGGAATGCTGCCTATGACCCCAAGAACACCATCCCCACCGTCAAACATGGAGGTGGAAACATTATGCTTTGGGGGTGTTTTTCTGCTAAGGGGACAGGACAACTTCACCGCATCAAAGGGACGATGGACGGGGCCATGTACCATCAAATCTTGGGTGAGAACCTCCTTCCCTCAGCCAGGGCATTGAAAATGGGTCGTGGATGGGTATTCCAGCATGACAATGACCCAAAACACACGGCCAAGGCAACAAAGGAGTGGCTCAAGAAGAAGCACATTAAGGTCCTGGAGTGGCCTAGCCAGTCTCTAGACCTTAATCCCATAAAAAATCTGTGGAAGGAGCTGAAGGTTCGAGTT